GGGGGGGGGGGGGGGGGGGGGGGGCGAGGCAGGCGTCCTCTGTCCAAGGAGAGAGTTCACCTTTTCTCTGCTGCTAACCTGACCGGGCTGGGCAGGAAGGTGGCTGGAGGGTGACGATGCTGCAGTTCGCGGGGCCCTTGTGCCTACTGGCCTTGTGCTAATTCTGAAAAGCACCCTTAAACACCCATGCTCTGAACAAGCAGCTCCCCGTCCTTTTTCCACAGACCGATCCTGGCTTGAAGGGAAGATGCTGTCAACACACCAACTATTAACCCCCTCATAACCTGAACTTTTGTCATGAGACAGCCATCCCAAGAAAGTTTATTTGGAGTTAAAGTCCATTGAGATCTGTAGGATTTAAGACACGCGAAATGTGTTTCTGACGCAGAAACCGTACTATGGTTTATTCTGTAGGAATGTGGGAGAAAGCTTGGGTGGCTCCTGAAACACTCTTTCTGCTCTTGTACCGTCTTCGCCTCCGGCTGGGTCCCTGAGTCATTCACCCTGCCCCTTTTCCTAGAGTGTTATCAACACAAGTGAACATTTAATGGGAATGACTTGGCATCTGTGACATTACCAAGCCGACGATAGGCGCTAGATGTTTCTCCATCCTTGAAGTCTTCATGCCTTGCCAGCGCATGATCCCTGTTTCTTGTTTCCAGCTTTTGCGGGGGTGAATGAACGCACTTTCCTTGCCATCAAGCCAGATGGGGTCCAGCGGCATCTGGTTGGCGAGGTCATCCGGCGTTTTGAGAAGAAGGGCTTCAAACTGGTGGCGATGAAACTCATGCAGGTGAGAACAGCCAGCTGGTCCCCCAATCCCAACCTGCAGGAGTGATCTTAGTACCCAGTGCTTTTAAAAATGTTTATGAATGAAATGTTGATTGCATCTGAAGTATCTTCTGCCCAGGCCTCGGAAGAGTTGCTGAAAGAACATTACATCTCCCTCCGCGAGCGTCCTTTCTTCAGCCGCTTGGTGAAATTCATGAGTTCGGGACCCATCGTGGCCATGGTGAGTGATAGATATATGAGGGGCTAAAAGACGAGTGGTTAAGTTTCCTGAGGTCAGATGCTCTTTGCTGAGAGACAACAGCTGACCAAGGGCTTGGCTAGTTTTTTAGACCCAACCTGAGATGTTTTGTCAAGCCAAGCAGCGTTGGCCAAGTGGGACTCCCGAGTTGCAAGAACTTTCCCTCCTCTCTTTATGGATACCCAAAATGTTCTGTCCTGGAACATTTTGATCTGCCTTCTGAGTTTTCTGGGTCAGCCTCAAAACAGCTTGAACTAGAAACAGTATTAGCATTTTTCATGAATATTTGGGGCACATTTTGTTGCAGGCTTTGTTGTGTTTTTCTTGAGCACTCTTTCTTGGCCTCAGTGGCTTTGAGGAGATGCCATAGCCCCGTGGCTGGGGAATTCTGGGAGCTGAAGTCCACGCATCTTAAAGCTGTCAAGGATGAGAAACAGTTCCATAGTCCTACCTGCCAGTACGTGTGTGCCTTCTTCAAATTTTTTTTAATTAAAAAAAAGCAGGAACATTTACCAAAATTACACTATTCCTGCAAGTTTTGAGTAGCAGAAAGAGAGATGCATCAAAGCCGCTGCTGTGGACCATTCTTCTCTCACTTTCTGTAGGTCTGGCAAGGGCAGGAGGTAGTGAAGACTGCCCGCATGATGATTGGCGAAACCAACCCAGCCGATTCCAAACCTGGAACTATCCGAGGAGATTTCTGCATTGAAGTTGACAAGTGAGCTGAAGTCATTAGTTTCCTTGTACTTACAGGCCTCTTCTGGAAGGCAAATTCCAGCATTCACCCAGGGCATGAAATATCTATCATATAGTAACAGCACCCAGTGCAGTTTAAGTTTTGCATTGACCTACTGTAGCCATCACATCATGCCTGTGTGAACTGAGCCTAGCAGGAAATTGGTATCCCTGTGTTTGTCTTGCTGTCTTCTTCCTTTAAACATAGCTTACACCAAAGCATTTTTGCTGTACAGCTATTTTACACAAAGCCCAGTTAATGATGCTTGAAGGTTTCAGCCTGGAGTCCTTTCCTCACAGATAGCAAGCACTGAAGTTGGGTCTTTCTGCCAGCAGACGAAATAATCTATCCCCAAACTTGTCATCAAATGTCATTGCCTGCTTGCAGGAAGGGGGGGGGGGGACTCAGCCCCCACCACACAGCATACGTAATATATCTTTCTTTAAATAGGTTCAACTTTTCCCTTTACAATACTGTTTCTTTCTCTGTAGGAACGTGGTTCACGGCAGTGATTCAGTAGAAAGTGCTGAGAGAGAAATTGCACTCTGGTTCCGTTCCGATGAGCTGATCTGTTGGAAAGACAGCACGGAGCACTGGATTTACGAATAATAATAATAATAAAAAATCTCAGTTATTGCTCTTGTGGTCTGGACTTCCCCAACCTGGAATCTTCTGAACGTATTGGACATTGACTGGCATCAAATACAGTGCTGGTTGAGAAAGTCTGTTATAGCTATTGAGTCTAATATTAGAATAATATCTGTGGGCTACAAAAGCACAACTACACAGAAGTCTTCCAATCAAATATTCTTCTTCAAATGTTCTTCTTGGCTCCATTAAGTGTTCCGCCAGTGTCTCTTGTTGGCTGTTACAAAGATTGCTTTGCTTGGACTGTGTGGGCAGAGAAGGGCAATGTTGCTTTAATCTCCCCCCAGAACTTCAAGATAAGCTTGAGGTTTACTGCCAAGCAATGAAAATTAGCATCCTGCCAATTAGCTAATCCTGCCAATTAGCAGGATGCAGGGGGAATAAAACCTCATGATCAATGTTTCTGGTTTGTCTGTTTTTTGAAATTTCATATGCTAAGGCAAGTCTCATTCCCTTTGGGGCCACGAAAGAGTGATGGTTGAAAAGGCCGAATTTCTGGCACTGCACTTTGATTTTTTCCACCTGTCTAAAATTAGTTTTTAATAGTTCAGAGCAAGCAGGTGCTTTTAATGCTAGGCTCAGCCCCTGGGAATGCATATATATATGGAACAGGGAACAAATTAATCCCTGCTTAAGGGAGACCTGAGAGAGATACAGGCTTCCATGCTATTATCAACTCGTGCTGGAACTGGACACATCACTGTAATTTGCAAATACTTTCCAAGGACATTTGTTTGTACGTCTGTACAAGCCCATTGTTTTTAAACATTGGCTTGCATTTTGTTTTGTAAAATAAATGTTGGAAAGACAGCCATTTTCACTCCTCCTGCTTTCAGAGAAATTGTATAATCAGGGACTGTGGACTGTTTAGCCTAGAGAAGACAAGGCGAGAACAGGACTGTCATCTTGGGGGACTGCTACAGAGGATAGATAAATCTGTTTGTTGTCACTCCAGAAAGACTTGCCCTAGCCAGTAGCCTCCCATCCCAAGAAGCAGGATCTTGATGAAACATTAGGAAGACCTCAGTGAGCTGTTTGACAGTAGAACGGATGACCTCAGGACACGTGAGCTTCTTTTAGAAACAGTTTTTTTGTCTTTAAAAAAAAACATTCATAGAGATGTTACCCATTAGCAGAGGGCTTTACAAGATTTCTTTGAAAGTCCCTCCCAGCTCTTTCACGCTTTGAGTCATTGGGTGAGGAGAACAAGGGACACCACGCCTGCCCACCCAATCAAGGAAGACGTTTTATGGGGAGGAAACCCCCCATTGCAAAATAAGGACTCAGCCAGCGCTACAGTCACCAAATATCGAGAACTGAAGGCAATGGAACAGTGTACCCAGCCAGTTTAGAACTCTGAACAGACGCACTTGACAGGTACCTTTTTTCACTGGTAAGTATTCCAATAAAAGACTGAGGCCTCTCTCCTTGGCAGTTGCATTTTGGAGCTTCCACCCTTCTCGGGGACTCAGCAATGCTCTCAGACCCGTGACGGTAATACATTTTTATTACATACAGAACAGATATGATTTCAGTTTGTTTGGTAGCACGTAAGGGAGAAAGCACAGGAGAGGTTGGTTTTCATACAGCCGTCTCTTTACATCTTCAGACGAAACAGCAGAGTTTACAGCTTCAAGACACATTTTTTAAAAAATCCCTTTATAACGTACAAGTTAACTTTACATACATCACAGTGGAATTGCAGCAGGAAGGGTCTGTCTGTGAGGTCAATCAGCTTTTCATCGTGCTGGCTGATAACCCCTAAAAGGAGCACGTTCTTTGGGTGCTGTTTCCTTCACTGTCTCCTCCTCTCCACGCCATCACACAGCTGTGCTTCTTTTCAACATAACTTCAAACTGCAAAAGGTTTGGGAGCAGATGCAGCAGACAAGCAAGGTTATGATTAGTAAGTGCCAGAAAATGAGAGAGGCTGGAGGCTTCATAAAACTTAACAATGAACAGATAAACTTGGTTTCAAATTTATTTAAGACCAGGATATGCTCTCGTGCCTTTGCTAGTAGATTACTGTAGCGTACCCATCCCAAGCTGATGGACCTGCAGATCGAATATAACTCCCATTATTCCTGCAGGGCCACACATCATCACTCCAAAGTCTGTGACGTTCTCTAGGTGCTGTGCTACTGCAGCCTTTTGAAGCATGTAAGGAAGCTATGCCCATGTTTATGTTCTCCCCTTGGGAAAATGCAATGCTATATAGGTTTACCCAGAAGCAAATCCCATCAACCTGAAAACAGCATACTTTCCAGAGAAGTGAATAGGATTGCAGCTTCTGTCTACTTTCATTCTGATCACTGGGCCATTTTTTGTTTGCTTTGAGGGTGGTCGTGTTACATCAGCCTTCCTCAATTTGCTGCCCTCCAGGTTAGGACTACAACTTTCTGAATTCCTTTTTGGCCAGGTGGATTTAGAGCTTTGGGAGATGCAATCCTGATATGTCCAGGTAGGTGGTAGCACCCCACGAACCATGGCTGATCTCCAAAGGCCAAGCAGGGTCAGACTTGCATGGGAGATCACCAGAAAATCCCAGGACTGTAGGCTAGACTGGGCAGTAGCAAGAAGGGAAACAAGAAGACAACACAAATATGTTGATGAAGACCCTAGAAGCTGACCTTAACTCAATGGGGAACTGCCTTTACAGATCCAGCTGGAGGGCACCCAGTTGAAAAAGGCTAGAAGGGGGCATTAAGCATTCTTAACATCTGGGTTGGCCCTGCTGTTAAGATGGGGATATGATCAAGTTCATCAGCCTTTGAAGCACCTCCAAATGCTGTTATCTTTATGGAGGATAAAGTTCATCTCCAGTAGCAGCCTTTTTGCACATCTGGCTCAAATTACACTGTCCCCATCTGCCTCAGATTTCTCTTGCTACTCCTACAAGCCACAGACAAAGAATGAGGGCCTTCTGATTCTCCAGCTGTCCTTCGTTTCCTCTCTTCCCTGCTTCATTCTCCCCAGACCAATGCCTATCTCTCTGCAGATTCCATTTCTGTAGGCTCCGGTCCATCTGCCTTCCATGTGCACTTCGATTCTCTGTTAAATGGCCAGTAAGCAAGACCTGGCTTCTGCCTTGACTTTTCTGTTTCCCAGATAGCCTGAAAAATACATTTTGTGACCCATTCCACAACCCCCAGCCGAGCATCACCAGACAAATCGAAGGCGGTTTCGCCCTTCAAAATATCCGTACAACTCTGGAATACTGTGATGCTCCAGGGGCAAAGAAGTTCATGTTTTCCTTGCTTGCTGTATGCAAAATGCTCAGTATACGCATGTGCCTTCCCATCCTTTAGAAAGCCATTTGCTAATTCAGGCAGATGCAGCAAGAGACGATTCTACCTTCAGATTAGCTTCCTGCTTGCCTGGTAAACACTTCTCAGTTTCATTGCAGTGAATCCTGCTGTGCCTTCAAAGAGCTCAGACGGGTGCACCTGGATGCAGTGGGCTCACTAGTGCCCAGACTAAAATGAATTTAGTGATGGGAACTCATCATGTGCCCAGAGCCCATAGTCTGGACACAGGGCCCACTGCTGACCTGCTGTCATAATCCCCAACGTACCTGCAAACCTTCCTGGTACAGACTTTAGATACTTTAGCCAAGTTCAGATTCCTCCCAAATGCTGTGTCATGACTGGACCTCACAGAATAATTGTGAAGGAGAAAGGACAGGGATGTTGCTTGCTCTCAGAAACATCTTATTCATACTGGCTTGGAGACCAATCCATGCCTGTCAACACAGTCTCCATGGTGGCAAAGGGAGGAAGCCAGTAAGCAGCTCACAGGTACTTTTCTCCATGCAGGTAGGAAGGGGGAGAGGGAGGGGGCTGTCTTGGAAACTTTGTCCAGTCCTTCTGAGCCAAGGGCGGTCTTCCTTTGCGTCTTGATTCCTGATGCATTAGACTCATCCTAGGATTCCCTCCTGCTGGAAAGCCAACGGGTAACCTGGCCAGTTTAGAAAGTCCACCAGCTCAAGACAATCACTGCAAACCTGGAGAGGAAGGGAACCACTGCATGGCGCAGGAACGGTTGCAGTTATCTGGGGTCGGACTGGCCGGCGGTAGGAATTATGCAAAAGTTCTGTATGTACATATTGGCATTCAGGGAGTGGGTTTCGGTGGAAGGGAGAAAATTATACTGGCAGGAAAAGGAAGAGACGCTCATTCAGGGATATAGGACACTTGCCAGACAATGATGTGGCTTCGTTCAGCCTTAGAGACGATAGGCTTCACCTGGGCAGCATCACCTGCATTTTCTTCGGTCTCATCGTCTTCTCCATCTCCTGTAGAGGGAAGAGGAACCAAAACACAGAGCATCAAAGAGTCCCGTCCCAGCAGGATCCACCAAACAGATCACTAAGTACAACCCGGGGGTGGGGGGGTGTAGTGGGTTTTGTATTTGGGGTCTTATTTAGGTAAGCCGCCCAGAGTCACCGTGAGTGAGCTGGGCGGCCATATAAATTGCTTTAATCAGTCAATCCATAAAAATAAATAAATAAATAAAACCCAGTTGAGACCTTGGATTGACACAAGAGAGCTTTTTGCTGTCAAGGAATTCAAGTTTTGCATAGTATGACAACATCTTGCAAAAGAGAAGGGGGTTCTTTTTCTCTCCATACTGTAAAAAGCAGCAGAGGCAAAGAGGGAATTCCTCCTCCTGCCAGTGGGAAACTTCCAGAGTCATTAGCCATCTTAAGGCACAAGGTGATACAATGTCTGCCACGCAGCTTCCCATTACCTGGTTCTGACTGTCATTTTATGATGACAGATGAAATTAGCTGACTGAACTCTGGCTTGGGTCAGGTCAAATGCCATCTAGCCTAGTTCTGTCTACTAACCAACATTAGCCATCCCAAAACTCAAGTAGAGATAGTCTTTCCCATCATCTGAAAGCTGAGGGTTCACGTGAAAGTGTTGGGGTCATGTGCTTTATAGGCAGAAAGGTGAGTCAGAAATCATAACAATGAATAAATAACTTTTAAAGCAGGTGCTGTCATAATAGCACCCAAGTTGGCATTTAAGGACATAGTTTTCTATAGAGACACTCCTGAATGATAAAAAAGGATCACTGAATACTTGCAGAATATGTACGAATGTAACAGATCTGCCCACCAGCAGAGGAACTCTTCCTGCATTATTGTCTAGATTTACACTTTGCAGTAAGTCATTTGCTTTTGATGCAGCATGGATAAATCAGCCTATTGTGGCTTCTTCAAGAAACCATGATTTTAAAACATGTAATGTTTTATATGTGAATAGAGCCTTATGCAGGTCACCATCCATATTTTGGGGGGAGGGGTTAGCCATAACTGCAAAAAGTATTTTTTTATTTAGTCTCTCACTCCCTTAAAAACTCAGAGGGGGGAATGTCTTTCCAAAATACTTCATAATCCTGATTATTAAAACATGACGCAACAAAATATAAAAAGGAGAACTGTAAACACTGAAATGTTAGGATACAAAAAGAGCTGGACAAAAAAATATTCGAGACCCCTGAACTGTAATAAAGAGGCTGCTTCAACTCCTGTGTGGTTTGCTACATAAGATGGGTCACAACAAAGAAAAAACAACAAAATATTAATAGTCGGTTCTGCCCTTATGTGCAACCCATGTAGCCCTCTGTGTGATTTCTTCTTTCACCCTCCCATATTCATTTGCTCATTGTCCACTGCTACTGCAAAAGACAAGGGTGTATTGTGAAACTCACCAATCCGGAAGTCAATGTACCCTTCGCCGCCGCTCAGCACTAAGACGTTTTTCAGCTTCTGCCCTTCCTCCTCGACCGTATCTGTGCTGGGGTTCTCTGAAGGACTGTCCAGGACACTCCCATTCAAAGTGGCAAGAACATTCCCTAGAGAGGCATAGAGCTGATTAGCAGCAGCTACACTCCAGCCTTCTGAGGACAGCATAAGGCCCTGGAACAGCAGCTTGAAGGAAACAGAAACTGAAGTATTTCTAAACCACAGTTCAATTTAGTAGTTATGTGACAGCCTGTGAATATTTGAAAAATGCAACCATACAAGGCTTAATTGTAATTACTTGTTCCTCCCTGCCAGTTCCTACTTATTATCCTGGAATGCTTCTGTAGAAAGAGTTTCATGGAGATCTCTACAGCGCCATCAAATCACATGCCTGTCTCTTCCCCACAGTTCTCTGATGTGCAATACCAAGACAAACACCATATTATGAAAATTATGACTCTGGTCAAAAAGGCCACTTGGTGTCACAGATACAGTGATTCAAACATGGGGCTAAATACAGGTATTTTCAACTGCTTTGTCCCTTTTTTGCAGGACACTTGGATGGAGCTCACAGGTTACCAGATTCTATATACTAGTCTAGGAACCTTTCAGACTGAACATACAGCAAGGTCTTTCCAGGAAGCTACTAATATTTTGGACATGTATAAACCAAACAGAAACTGCTTGGGGAAAGTCTGTGCCGCAGTTAAACATGCAGAGACCTAGAGATGCTCTACTGACCAGGTACGGAGACAAAGAATTTGACTGCATCGCGGTGGCCATGGAAGCAGAGCTGGGCCTGAGCCATAGAACAATATGGGATGAAGCTGCTGGCAGATTTGTCATTGCTGTCATCTCCACCGTACACATGAATGACTCCACCAGGGCGGTTCCCCTCTCCAGATGTTGGTGATGTCTTGTTGGCTGACACCAAAGAAAGAGAAACAGAAATCAACAAGCAAGATGGAAAAAAACGAATGATATCTGATTTATTAATAACTTCCTTTCATAGGGGATCTGGGAAGTGTAGCTTTGGAAATTCTCTTTCCAGGAAGCTACAGAGAGTAACGCCATGAGAAAGGCAAAGGCTGAAACCTCGAAAGAAAGAGACACGGCTCATTTAGAAGGAGCTCCGTCACATTCAGTACAATTGTATTCTTTCCTCTCTTTAGGTTGAGCTCTGGGAGAAAACCCTATTGATTCAAGGACAAACAGTATGTCACATCGTTGATGAACTTTTAAAAAGCCATGCCTGAACTTCCTATTTGTATATTTTGAAGAAAAATCCAGAATACAGAATGCACTACTTTCCAGCTGAAAAGCACACCGTTAGCAGCTGCCATTTACAGCAATAAACAGTTTTAGGGACAAAAGGCAGCCAGAAAGCAAGTGAAGTTTAACAGTAAAGAAGTTACTGTTCAGGAACCTAACCCAGGTTGACAGCACATTCCAGACAGTGCTACTGCAGCTGGGTTTATTTCAGACTAACTGTGACCAGTCTTACCTGTTTTATCAATCTATTTCAATTTATATGGCCACTCCTGTCACCAAAGCACAATTTTTTTTCATGCACCAATAACATCATGTGTATTTGGTTCTCATCTGAATGAGAAAAGGACGGAAGTAGACCGTGCTGATCAGCTGATTCCTGTGAAATCATCCATTCCCACAATTTCTGTTTGGGAGGAGTCAGACTGTGGATTCAGCTTCCTAGGTATAACTGCTGCTCAAAGACAGCCAAAGAGAACTCGCAAAATGTATATGCTGCCCATCTGGGGGAGATGGGCGGCATATACATTCAATCAATCAATCAATCAATCAATCGTTATTGACAATCTCTTAGTCTCACACTTTCAGGCAGGGTGGATTATAATCATCCCCAAGCATTAGTCTGATTCACCCAACTATTTCTGCTGTTCCATTTCCCTGCAATTTTTGAGAGAAAGGAGAGGGCGATGAATAAATGGCCCGAAGAAGACAAATGAGCAGATGAATCAAGGGCTGGAAAAATGAGTGGAAAGCTTTAACATCTGAACTTAGAAATCCATTGTGGGTTTAGGACTTACCCCTGAGCCCAAGAAGTTGACCTCGGTGAAGGACTACAGCTAGGCAGAGGAGAAAGAAGGCAAAGGGGAAAGTGAGAGGAGAGAAAAACCACAGATTGGGGAAAAGAAGAAAAAAGTGGTTACTGGGAGAAACAGCTAAAAGAGAATCTTGGCAAAAACATTTATCATTTTAATGTAAAACACTTATCTTTTCACAAAGACAAGAAAAAGTGTTTGAGAAAGTTCTCCCCTTGCTTTATATTAGTGTACTCAATCTCATCAACTTTAAGATGTGTGGACTTCAACTCCCAGAATTCCCCAGCCAGCAAGGCTGGCTCGGAAATTCTGGAAGTTGAAGTCCACACATCTTAAAGCTGTCAAGGTTGAGAAATGCTGCTTTATACAATAGAAGAAATAACTGAAAATGTGCACATGTCAGCCACTTACTCTCAGTCAAAGGAATAGAAATGACGACTCCATTGCCCGTGCCAACCCACAGGCGATTGCCAGCGATGAGTAAAGCTGTGATCCGCACAAAGGAGAAACCCAGTTTTCCAGTCCCTGAATAAAAGAGCAACATGGCATTGGTTGGTGTTGGGCAACTAATCCCAAAAGTTCAAGAAAGATCTGCCACAAACTGTTGCAAATTAGCCAGTTGTTCTACCAAGCCCTTTCTCCATGAGGTTCCATTCCATTCCCACTCTTCCAGTTTTTTCCTTCCAAGAACCAAGTAGTGTTTTGCAATCACCAAACACACGCAGTAATCTTTGAGCTATATATTGGTTTTGCAAATCACGAGGGTTCCTTATCCCCGCTGATTTTTCTCTCCTGGACTATAAAAGGGAGGCTTCAAAAAGCACAAACCCCATAAGCTGACCATCTCAGGAGAAATATGGACAGCCTCAACAACATCCCTGGTTCTTTACTAATACAACAAGATGACAACAAGTATCTGTACTGATGAGTTCATAGGCCATAATTTCATGAAGGGTGAAAGAAGAAAACACAAATGATTCAGTTCCACATCTGTAGGCTTATTTTCAGTATAAGACAAGGGCCTGGAAAGTGTCCTGTGCCAAGTCAGAAGCTTGGGGCTACCCTGGTCAGTATTTTCTACACTGGAGGTGAGTAAAATTGCAACCCTAGAGATATGTGCTGCCTATTTACGTTATTTACAGCCACCCATCTTGTAAAATCCAACTCGGGGCAGCTGTAAAAGTCTTCTGCCTGTGTGTGATCAATTTAGAAAGAAAAATGGAGGGAGAAAGACAGAACAGAAAGATAAACAGAGAAGAGTTGGATGCAGAAGGAAAAGAATCAGAACATGTGAGAAAAAGGGTGACTCCATTTATCTTCTTCACTGCCAAGATGTCCCTAGTTGGCATACCCCTGTAGCACTCAATAAAGAAGAAAAGATCTTCGGTTCTACACTGACCAGGGCTTCTAGCATGGCGTTCCTGAGTCCTTCCCAGAGATGCTAGAACTGAAGTGGGAACCATCTAAGCTTTACCCTTGTCTTTCCCTGCAGGACCATGGCAGGGGAGGCTCCATGGAAAAAGCAGGGATTTCAAGGACCATAGAAGGACAATGTTGGGGTAGGCAGCGCTGAGCACACAGAACAGCAAGGAAAAAGGGAAAAAAACTAAAAGGGTTCCAAAGGATGAATGGTTCCAATGCCATTTCACTTTACCTAACATTTTGCTGACATAGGGCTCAATATCCACATCCTGAAGATGTTGGTGAGTGTGAGCGTGATAGAGCCGTAGGGTGGAGTCCAGGCGGATGGAAACCCAGACCCCATCTCCAATCCAAGCCAACTGCCGGATCTGGCTCTCCCGGCGAGGATGGGCATCAAATGACTTCTGGAAAACCATAAAGGAAGGAGTCTTTGATTTTATTACAGTTACAAACCTAACTATTTTAGGTTTCCCGCAAGGTTTCCTGTATGTCTGCTTAACAGATCAGAACCTCAAATATAAGCAACATTACTCCAGAATTACAGCTTTTCCAATAATATCTTGGCATCCCTGCTTAAAAGGAACTTGCATTAAGTTATCTTCTAATCCATAAGGAGACAATTTTTTCCAAGAAGGAGCTGTCATTGGCTTCTGACTGGGACAACAAAGATGGCACACCCCAAAGTAGACAGAGTAAAGATACGAATTCAGTCAGGCCAGGACAAAATCTCATTTTGATTTAATTTAAATTTAATTAAAAGTAACATAATTCACATCAGGAAGATTTTTTCCCATCTGTTTGATAATTTTTCTTTTGTGGCCCATGAAAAATTACAATTTGATGACAACCCCGGGAAGAGTTCTGGGGAGGGGGCAACACCAAAGATTTAGGGGATGCAGCTGAACCTTGGCACACAGGTTGGGCATCCCTGTTTTGAAGTGGATATGATCCATGAAAGCCTATGTGAAAATAAAAGTCTTCTTTTCTACAGTGACACAACTTCTGGGTGCTTTCTGGCTGATTCATGTGCCGTTTAAACCTCTTAGTTGTCAAAGTAAATTTAGCTTTTAGCATCTCAATATAAAGCAAAGAGCAGGAAGGGATATCCTACAGACAGCTATATGACTTAGATCAGATACCCCCTCCTGGTACCTCGATCTGCATTGTCTTTGGCTGGATGACGTGAATTTTGTTCTTATAGCCACACCACACTCTGTCGTATACCACAGCCATGCAGCGAATGGAATGATGGGTGTGGCCAAGATCCATAAGATGATAGTTGCTCAGATCCCACTGACCATCTAGAAAAAAATGGAAAGAGGAAGGGAGAGGAAAAAAGAGAAAAGAAGAGCTATTTTGATTCTAGAATCTTCTAGTATCTTGTCAAGAATTATAAAACCATTGAATTAAAAGGGTCCATTCAGGTGACTGGATCCAACCTCCACTTAAGGAATTTATATTAAAGCATCCCTAACAAATGCTTGTCCAGCCCCTGGTCCAGCAAAGAAAGTAATTTGTTCCACTGTTGAACCACTTGGATGGTTTGGAATTTTTTATACAATTGAATTGGAATTTGTTTTCTTTTCTATTCCATGCCCTGAACTCTGGAAGCGTAATCCAATCTAGGCCAAAGTTAATATCAGAAGTTCTAAATATGAGTATATCCCAAATTTCTATGGAACACACCAAATTCTTTCCTGTCTGCTAGACTCTGCCAGTTGCAGTGTAAGTGGCCATGCGATAAGATAGCTTTTCCAACTGCACCCCAGAAGCCAGAAGACCTAGTTAATTATTTTCCCCAGCTTTTCAGTGAGTGGGTATCATTTACAGCAACTGACCCTTACCTTCTCCCCGATGGAATATGGCAAGAGTCCCATCTGCCAGAGCCACAAGAACACGCCCTTTCACATGCCTAAGCGGAGAGGGGAAGGGGAACATAATTTTTAAAGTTACATGGAGGTTCCATGCAACATCTTTGAGAAGGAACAGAACGATGTACATCTGAGAATGATCCAGTATTACAATCACAGAAACAGGTGGTGGATTTAGCACCTTGAAAATCTTAGTTTCAATGAAAAATAATAGTAACCACAAACAGCCAGACTTTCTGGCTGTTGTAGCTCAGAACTTTGATTTTCTCTATAGATACAAAGCTGCCTTCTATCAGGTCTGAACTGGTCCACCACCATTTACCATCTCTGGTTCTTCAGAGTCACAAGCAGTCATAATCTTTTCATATTCTGGTTCTTTTAATTTTTTTATTTTAACAAGAAATGTCATTCTTAATTCTGTACATATTTATCCATAGCAACCCAAAATTCGTCTTGTTTACTTACACCAGGCTTAGTACTGAATCCTTCAACTTGATGGAATGTAGGCACTTTTTCCAGTTTGACACTGCTGAGTGCACATACAACCTGGCAGGAAGGAATATTATACAGGTTTAGGCTGGCAGTATGGTGGCAGCAACTGGCTAATCTTGTTTGGGTTCAGAAGCTAAGCAGGGTCAGGTCTGGTTGGTACTCGGATGGGAAATCGTCATCAAATACCTCTACTATAGGCTAGATCTGAGGTCAAAACAAATTCTTAGAAGAAGGCAGTGACAAGTTGCCAAGAAAACGACAAAGACCAGTCCGTGAAATCATCACAAATTGAGTCTGTGTGAAGGAGCTTTTACCTTTACTATACTTTTTTACCTAGCTATAGACCAGTGTTTTTCAAACTTGGCAACTTTAAAATATGTGGACCTCAACAGCATGCTGGCTGAGGAATTCTGGGAGTTGAAGTCCACACATCTTAAAGTGGCCAAGGTTGAGAAACACTGCTCTACACGGACAGAGCGAAGCCTTGATAGCCCTCAAGGAATACCAAGAACTTCCTGAAAAAAGGAGGCAAGGATTCTGTGCTTCCAAAATGGGAACTCGTGACACCATTTGTGTGAGGTTGTTCAGCCAGAACCACCTATGAGATCTGATGGAGTTAGTACTAGATGTGGTGTGTGAACAATGCTTGAGACTCATACCAGCCATTCTGTGCTCCAAGCCACATGGTGGGGGCAGCACTGGTGGTAGCACCAACTGCGTTGCCATTCGCCTCTTGGTCCTGCCCTGCTGTGCTTGACTCTGTTTTTGGATGTCCATTCTCACTGTTGACAGAAAAACACCCTTTTTAAGTGTCAGAGGGTACGGAAAAAGTGCTTTATATCTGGCCAGGCTTCATCTCCTTTAGCCTGGCACTCTCTATTCTGCAACGAACTGTGTCTTTTCCATTTATTCTAATTTCCTGTTGAGTTCCTGGGAATTTCCAGGACAAGAACAAGCAACGTCTCCTTTACCTGTTCTGCCTTGCAGGTGCTTGAGCCGGAGTTGGATCTGTAAATACATGTTCTGTAAGGGGGCCTGTCCGGACCTGGGCTGGCTCCATTTCACTCACGCCGTTCTCTGGCACTTCTGTAGCTTCTGTGGCCTCCTCAGTGGACTGGGACTGATCTATCCTGGCACTGCTTGCTGCTGCCACTTCATCTAAGGGCAGAAAAGGTGACATTAAAGATGAAGCAAAAGATGACTCCAAAAAAGCAGTTACCTTCAACAGATATAACTGTCTGGTTACCAACAGAGAAAACAGCCCCCCCCAAAAAACACATCATAATTCTAAAAGGCAAAATCACCCAGAGTTACTGGGAGTCTGGCAGCATATAAATTTAATAAATTATTATTGTTGTTATTATTATTATTATTATTATTATTAAAATA